TTTTTTTTTTTTTTTTTTTTTTTTTTTTTTTTCTTACGTGCTGGAAAGTGATCCCTACTTGATGCGAACCCATACACGAGCAAAATGCACATCGAATACATCAGATCACATCGCGGTTTTCTCAAGCTGTTGTCGCAATGAGAATGCGACAACGTCAGCGAAACTTACGAATCTGGAAACCGTCTAATTTCACCAAAAAACAAAAAAAAAAAAAGTAGGAAAGATACCTTTTCATTGCACATCTGTACTTCATTGTTGCACTGTATGCTTTGACAGCTCGACGCGCACACGGAATATGATATTTTTGTCTGCTGAGGAAACGTTCTGAACCGTACGCAATTCTTGTGTTAAGGAATTATCACTCTAGCGTCTTAAGCGTATTTTTAGGAATTTTTTGTAGGCAAACAAAGAAATGAATCAAAAATCAGTTTGGAAGGCTTTATGTTTTAAAGTATATATTTAAATTTTTATGTTAACATATATTACAAAATGACGTCGCTAGAGCCTGTTAACATAAAAATTTGAATATTCACTTTAAAACATGTGTAATAAAGCCTTCCAAACGAATTTTCGATTAATTTCTTTGTTGATCCACAAAAAATTCTCAAAAATACGCTTAATTTTCGAACGCTAGAGTGGGATAACTCTTTAATCTTTCTCTTTTCTATCCGACAGTTACGTGAGGATCTTATTGTAGATCGCTTAAGAGTGTTTAGAGAGATAGAACGTTTCCTCGCGAGTTACATTTCGTTACAATGACACTGAATGTCTTCTGTGCACACTTCTATCTGACATTTATCCACACGACACTTGTGTGACACTAGATTTCTCATGCTTGACTCTCACACTCGGATCGATAAGACGCGAATACAACACCATCATTTGATCGACTTCATGTCAAAGAGTACGCATTATCATTGCTTTCTCACACGTCGACCACGGTGTGTACACGGCCGCAGCATTAGCGTATGGATTATGTTTTTCTTACGAGACATGTTTTGCTTGTAACGTGTAAGGCTTCTTCTGATGAGTTACAGTTTGTGTGTTACTCGCGTGCGAACGTTTTCGATGACATCCGCTTTATTTGCGTCAGAACGATTCCTCGCTCGCGTTACGTGTCGGCGATCTCTGAACTCTCGGCTCTAAACAGTGATATTTCCTTCCAGGAACGGTAAAGGTGACAATCACCCGTCGGAATCAGCTGGTACAATATTGAGGGAATGAGAAAGGGCGCGGCAGGATGTAACATCGCTGGTGCGGCGCGAATTCGAGACCGGTTAACCCAAGAAGAACCGAGATCGGCGACGCATCGTCAGACACACGATTCCTACATGCTACATAATTAATTATTGTCCTAAATTATTTCAAGAGAGTCACAGGGACGCTATATTCGGAGAGGGAGAGAAGAAAAACGTAGCGTCCCTGTGATGTGCGTACGTATGGGAAATATGTGTGAGAGGAGACGACAGTATATATATATATACCGTAACGCGAATTTCTCTTTTCGTTTTTCCGAGCACGCAAGAGGAGCGAGAAACGCAATTCGAACCCTTTTTTAATTCGAAATTCACGCTCGATCAAGTCTGAATTACCATGACAACGGCAGGAGGAGAGCATGAGCGAGAAAGCGAGAACGATAATTTAGGAAAAAAAAAAGAGAAGAAGAAAAAAAAAACTGTTATCACATGAGTGCTCCAAAACGTAAGAACGAACTAATGAATCAGTGGTGCACCGAACAATTACGGGACAAAAGATTTTAATTACTATTACGATCATTATATATGTATATATATATATTATATATATACAGTATATATATATATTATACTTGAAGATATTTTAACTGCGGTTTTACAGATACTATATGAATGTGAGATTTACTTTTAAGAGACATTATCTTTAAAGTCAGAGAAAACACACACGCTCACACATACACGACAAACGAATTTACGCGGAGGTGATTGTCGCGGCGATATCGAATCGCCGGGAGAATCCCCGCGACGATTAACAGCAACACGTAACGGAAAACAAAGAAGAAAACTACACTCTACTGAGTACGTTTACAAAAACAAATTCACACCTGAGAGCTCTGGAACTCGGTGTCGATCGTTCCCCGGTCAATACGATTTTACCACCTGTCTACCTACCTACCTATCTACCTATTTATCTATATCTGCTAATTTTGATACGCGCTGCCATCGCATCGGTCAACGAATATTGCGTTAACGTCCCGTCGCTGCCCGTTTCGAGTCCATTTTGAACGAGTTATTTGCTACCTCAGCGTAAATATCTATATATGAAAATTCTAAAAGTTGCCGCGCGCGTTGACGATGCCGCACACAACACACACACACACACATATACACACATTCTCTTCTACGCTTCTCTATTCAAACACGTGTCTCTATTGACGACAGGAACTTTTACGCACCACGCAGAAAGTTTACATCTGATTTCTACAAAAGACGTATACTCGAGAATTTTTATTATGTTTTACGAAGCCGCGATACGAAACTATATACATGTATACATATATTAAAGACAAAAGCGGAAACAATATGATTATCCGAAGAGGGAGGGTGAGAAAAGAAGAGGATACGCGAATTTAACGTTTTACACTCAACACGGCGTTCTCTCTAAGGTTCAAGCAGACACGTATATCGAGACATCCCTATACATCGTCGCGAGTTGAAAGGATTATAAGCAGTGTGCGTAACTGACCATAAGTAAAAATATGTAAACGTATTCAGTACACGGTCTCTGTGTCTCTAGTTTTGAGCGGTAGTTAAGTAGCGTGAAGCCATCACAGCCTGATATATTCCACGTTGAAACGAACCACGAACCTCTATTCTGTACTCTCTTGCGCTCGCGCAGAAAGATCATTGAACATTTGTTAATCGACCCCTTTGAGTCACAACACCGTGCGTGATTGATTTCGACGATTCTCCTTTCGTTTCTCCCGGATGAATATGCGAATCCGTCGCCAGTGTCTCGATACCCGGCGATATCGGCGCGTCTTCACCAACCACCGTCAAATAATTCGTCTTCCAGTATGTGCAGCGCACGCTTCGCGCAAGAGCTCTCTCACAAGTTTCCCTTTTCGGTTACCCTTCGGTCACGCAGCAGACGCACTTCTCACGCACGCACAGGCATACATGGAACACGCACACATACATACACACATATACACCACACACAAGCACGTTCCAACGAAATAGAAGCGTACACGCGATTATCATGCAACAGCTGTAGCGGTGATGGTGACACGCGGTCCGTGGTTAATTAATAACGTCTCCGTCTGTGAAAAAAAAAAAAAAAACTATAGGCGAAGCAACGCGGGCACACCTCGCGCCGTTGAGGAACCACCAACGCGCGGTATGTGTGTGTGTGTGTGTGTGTGTGTGTGTGTGTGTGTGTGCGTGTGCGCGCGCGTGTGTGTGTGTGTGTGAGTATTGTTTTACTTTCGCGAGCCGAGATCGAGAACTGTGCATTCTCTCACGCGTAGATAGAGTATAGAAGCGTATGAAGAAGAAGAAAACATTAGGTATCCTCACTGTTAGTCATTACTTTTCGTAGATAGTAGAACGGCGTGAGATTGCGAGGGCCGCCCACGTTGCTCCGCGACACAAAAACCAAGTGGAATCCATCCAGAAGCTTCGCTTACGGTGATTGTACTTCAGAACGTAGGTGAAGGTGTGCCTATCTTTTTTTATGACAGTTTAAATAAGCGAGAGAGAAAGAACAAGCGCGCGCTCGTGCGAACTCTTGTCTTCATCCTTCAGCCGGAACGGAGGCAGGGAGGGAGGGAGGGAGGGTGGATAGATGGACGGATGGGTGAGAGTCAGGGGGGAGAGTGAAGAGGAGCGCTACTTTAAGGATAAAGCGCGCGCGACGAAGATTTTAATCTCGTTATAGGCTTAAAAAATAGGGAAAAAAAAAAGAAACGAAAGAGACCTGAGCAGATAACTAAGCGAGAAGATATAGGTAACACTCACACACGTACACTCGATTATAAAGAGATGGGCGCACAGAAAAGCATAGTATTTAACTGTACCTAAAACGTCGTCGTAGTGATTAAAGAAGAAGATGAAGAAGAAAAAGAAAAAAAATAATCGTACCTATTAAAAAGAGCAGTTCACGCATCTCCTTAAGATAAAATAACGATAAGTAAAAGAGGATTAAGAGGAAAGGGATACGAAGAAGAGAGAAACCAGAGTAAAAAAAAAATAAGTTATATCGGCCGTCAACGGAACCGCCACCAAGTATCGTCCGACACCCTCACGGCACCACACATATTATATATTTTGTAGGCGATCGCGCGATTATTCATGTGATTTACCGAGTATTTATATACGAACCGGTTTAGGCGAGAGGGCGGAGAGAAAGGGAGCAAGATAAGAGAGAGAAATCGTACCAGGGTGTGATATATATACATACATATATATATATATACATATATATATATGTGTGTGCGCGCGGACGTGTTTTTGTATAGTGTACAATAATATAATTTCGCGCGGACGTTACTTGTTAGGCCGTCGCTTCTCTTCGTGCGATAGCTAAAACGACAGACGAACCAAAAATGGCAACATATATACACACACACACACGTAAACAGAAGCACGCACATGTGTACACAAATGAACGATCGCGTTTGCATATTTCCCGTTTCGTTATGCTTTTAACCGCGTGTTCGACACACCTGTTCGGCATCGTGTTGCACGATTGCGTCGACGTTTTGCATTTTTACGCGGATTTACATTGTAATCACGATGCACTAGTGGATATGTATGATGTGTATATATATGTATGAGTTGCGCGAAGCATACGAAGAAATTACAGCGATTTCAATTGTCATTTCGACCGTCGGATCGTCCGCGAAACGCTTGCGAAATTCGTTGCCGAAGAGCGGAGAGAGAGAAGAACGCGAGATATTACGAAGTGCGCGGCAGGTGTGGCGAATCGTCCCTCGATTCCGCTTGACTGATTTCCTCCGAATATTCTAAAGATCGAGTCACACAAGCGAGAAGAAAACGCAATGCGAGAAACAGCCGTTCGGGCGACTCTCGTCTTAAGAGAATCCTAAGATTACGAGCGATGAAAAAGAAGAGAACGGGTATTATAAGTACTGTGAGCTTGTAAGACCTCATCATTGGTTTACCACTATTTTTGTATGCGACGTGAGGCGATTGTTAGCAGCGAGCAATAAATTGGCGAGTCGGCAGAATGGGAAAGAAGCGAGGGAGGGAAGTTCCCGTGCGTCAGACTAGGTATTGCAGTTTGAGAACCACAGATTAAAGATTGAGATTTTATTGAAGTGATTGCCAACCAACAGTAACATTCCCGCTTAAAATTGTGTAAACGATAAGATTGCATTACAATCAGACTGAATTTCAATCATTATCTTATTGATTCACAGTGATTTAGATTGAAATTCGAACTAAACTTTGTGTAACATTATCGTGTTGTGTTCATCATATTAAATAGGGATCAATGTAAACATTTCCCACATTGTTATATGTTATATGTGCATACATGTTGCATGCAATAGTTACAACATTGATGTAGCGTTATTTTTTAGTCGATGTTTATTGGACTTTTTTTCAATGTCTTGTCTGATCCGCGAGTCTAAGGTCGATTCTCTCACCCTCGTCTTTCTCTTCTGAATCCTTCCGCCGACTCGCAAACGTGCATCCTTCGAGGATTCGCGTCCTTAGCGACAGCTGAATCACGAACACAGACACACACACACACACACCTACATACCTACACACATCCGTTCTATGTAACGAGAGCAATCCTGTACGTTTCAAACCGCGCGCTCGCGGATATCATCGCGATCATTCGCGAACAGAATAAAACGGAACATCATTCGTTTCTCCATTCATTCATTCATTGTGTGTACAGCTTGATAGTACGGCGCGATAGAGAATGCGTATCGAGTTGCGAATGATAGCGCGAACTATTGCGGGGATACATTACAGGAAGCGAAGTGTCATCTTGCCGTTAAGCATATCTTTTCGCCGCTACTTGCGTTTATAGACCGTCGAGCGAGTCTGAGAAGTGCTGGGTGGATATGCTTGACATTCATTCAAAGGCCGGTCGCACCGACACCGATTAGCCCCGGCAAATCCGATTCCTCTCCTCTCTGCATTGCGAAAGAAACTACAATGCAGGCAGGAGTGACGCTTGTCACATCTCCGTGATAGTTTTCTTCTTAGCGGTCGTGTTATCGCTCGAATTAAAATTGCAAGAGGGCGATCTTGGAATCGGACCAGTTTCTCGACGTCGCTTTCCCGGCTTCGTAATTGATATTGCATCGTGATGCAATTCATTCTCTGCTAATAAGTTTCTCCCTCTTCTTTTCTTCTTTTCTACCTATTCTTCTAGATACTAGTTCGTAATTATTATGTAGAGATTAACGGAACTTAACTAATCGCGGTCGGGCCTAACCGACGTTGATGAGACCGATCTTGAGAGTTTAGAGTTAGTTGAATGTGATGCGGACAAGTTGCAAGTGTATCAAAGTAGCTTCTTTTTTTTTTTTTTTTTTTTTTTTTTTTTTT